AAAAAAAAAAAAAAAAAAAAAAGCAAAAAACAAAAGCAAAAAACAAAACCAAAGCATTGTGTAACAATTTCAAAGTAAGAAATACTAGTTGCCATGAAGTCATACCTGAATGAAATTAAGCTAAGGTTATGACATGTTCAACTTACATCCAGTGCTTCTGGGGCTGCTGAGTTTGCCCAGGCCTGGGATTTTCACCTGTTGTCACTTTATTACTAAGTATGACCCAACTTTGGAGAGGGGAAGGCCCTGGCTTGAAAGTGGGTTCATCATCCTCTAGGTAACTTGTCAACACCTTCATTTCTCAGTGTGGCACAGCTACTATTGGCAACATGAACATTTCATGCAAACCCTCACTGTCCCCCTAAGTAAGTCTGTTCTGAGGGAAATCAGATGCCCACACTTAATCTACCTGATCAGAATTTTATAGCACAGCAAATCCCTTGGTGCTGGATCTGAGGTTGCCTTAAACAAAGTGAGATATTTTCATGGGGAAAAGTAGAGCTTTAAAGTAAAAAATGTTGATCAAACTAAAATATTGTAGGTACATTTATACAGTAAATAAGTGACCTTGGGGATCTTGTCTTCTCTTCCCTTTCTCCCCTTTCAGATGCAACATAGTGTGCTATCTTATGCTGGAGTGGATCTTGTGTTTCTTAAGGCGCAGATGACTTGCAGGGCAGAAGGGCACCTTAATTCTAAATACTCAATAAACAGAGCACATAATCCCTTAACATTGCAATTTGGGTAAAATTACCCCTACAGGAAATAAAAAAGTCCTGAAATGGGTGTATTCTGTCATTGAGAATGACCAGTGACCTCCACTCTATTTCCATAAAGTATTACTTTTTCACTTTATTTTTTGATGAGAAAAAGAATCATAAGCAAAAATGGTTTCTCACTGGGCCTGGTGGTACACTCCTAGGATCCCAGGTAATTGAGAGGCTGGGGTAGGAGGATCACAGATTTACAGCCAGACTGGAAGGAAACCTTAGACCCTGTCTCAAATTTAAAAGGGGGTGGGTAATGGGCAAGGGGCTTATCGCTCAGTGGTGGAACACTTGCCTAGCATGCCCCGGACCTGGGGTGCAATCCCTAGTGCCTGAAGAATTAAATTAATTGAATAAAAACTGGTATTGAGGTACTATGTGCTCTGAAAGGAAGTGGGAAGTTATAGGAAATCTTAATGCTTCTTTGCCTTGCTGGTGTCTTTGCTTTCAGAATGCAGTGAACCCTTGCCCAGATGATACCTTGATATCTTTCTTGCCTCTCGCCCACATGTTTGAGACAGTTGTAGAGGTAGGCATTTGGTTTTGTTTTCTTGGCTTGTTTGCTTGCATTCTGTTAAGTTGTTGTATTTTACAGAAAGCACTTGTCTTGAATGCCAGTGACATACAAATTTCATTCTTACCACTTGCACACATGTATGAGCAATTACTGCAGGTAAGTGTGATGTTTAGACTGTCATCCCCTCAGTCAGTTCTTTGTTCTGCCTTGTTTTAGAAATGGTACAGGGCTGGGGATTTAGCTCAGTGGTTCGGTGGCCTGCCTTGCAAGCTCAAGGACCCGAATTCAATCCCTGGTACCAAAAAAAAAAAAAAAAAAAAAAAAAAAAAAAAAAAAAAAAAAAAAACCAAAAACCAAAAAACAAACAAACAAAAAGAAATGGTACAAATTATTGGAAAGAATACATTTTTAATGGGTCTAAACTGAATACCTGAACTTGAAGCCTTCAGTTAAAAGTTAGAAGCTGGGCCAGGGATGTAGCTCAGTGGCACCTTGCCTGCCTGGCAAGAGCAAGGTCCTGAGTTTGACCCCCCTATGCCTAGATAGATAGATAGATAATTAAAAGCATTTTGAATGATACTAATATGGACATAATTCCAGAGAGGTTAATGTAGAAGGAACTTTTATTCAGTCTGATAAATCTGGTGAGGCTTCTGTTCTGTAAGAAATCTGGTTTTGATTTTGATTGTTCCTAATGGGTGAGCTAGTTTAAGACCAATTTTTTTTGCCAATATTCTAAGAGCCCTTGGAAAAGTAATCTTTGGCTGATCTTTCCTTGGGTTCCCTGTATACAACTGTGCAACAAATTTAAAAACTAACCAAGAACCGTCTTTTTTTTCTTGGAGATTTGGGATTTTATACCATTGGAAAAACAGTGAGCACCATCTATTCATTTAGTGAATAATTATTGAGCACTCGCTACCTATATGCCAGGTGCTGTGTGCCAGAGATAATTAATTAATAGCTGACACTTGTACTTGCTGCCCTGCATGATTTACTTACCTTTAAAAGACTGAGGATAACTAGACTCCCTCTTCCATTTGTGTTCTACTTGCTGCCCACCTCCAGATCTTATGAGTTTATAAACTGATCTCAATTGAGTTGCCAGTGGGCCAAATGCATATAGCTGTAGTGCTAGAGATGTACTTGGGAGACAGATCACACTGAACAAAAGGGTGAGCTTTTTCAGTAGTAAACATTCGTGCACCTGTCTAGTGGTTTCTGCTTTTAAGCTGGAGATCATTTGTATTTCTGGGGCATCATCTTTTGAATCTCCTTTTTTTTATTGAGTTTATTGGTACAATCTAGGTATACAATACAGTTACATTCATTGCTGGGATCCTGTACCTTCACATGACAGGTCTTGGTTCTCATTTTTTAATCTCCCTTTTAAAATTTAGAATCGGCAGACTGTTGGTCAGGTCCACCTGGTTTGTCAGTACAGCTTGCACTATGTAGGGAGAACAGTCATGCAGCATATTGTAGGTGAAGCACGGTTTATTAGATATCCTGCTGTCTTGGATTCAGCTTTTTCAGTGTCTTTTTAGAAAATTTTGGTTAGATTCAAACAAAGGAAATGAGATTTTAATAAGATGGACTGGAGGCAAATAATGCAGTTTTATTTTGATAATAGATTAGCCCTGAAATTCCTGGAATGCTAAAAATATTTGGAGTATATAATAACATGTAATTCATTCAACAGATGTTTATCATGAAGTTTAACACCTCTCTGTTTGTCATTAAAAATGATATACCCTAGTTTCATACTAATTCCTATATATTCAGGATGATCAAGACAAATAACATTTCCATGTTATTTGTATAATGACCATAAATACAGAAACATTTTTAAAGAAGCTATCTCTGTGTAGAACGTTTTAAGACCTCAGGTCTGCGTGTTGTCTGTCTTCATGCTCCTCCTCCTGCAGTGTTTAAAACATGTTGTTTCTGCCTACTCTGTAGTGTGTGATGCTGTGTCATGGAGCTAAAATAGGGTTTTTCCAAGGAGATATCAGGCTGCTTATGGATGACCTCAAGGTACTTCAACCCACTATCTTTCCTGTGGTTCCAAGACTGCTGAACCGGATGTTTGACCGAGTAAGTTCCAAGCGGCAAAATGTGGGGGACAGAACATTGGACTCTGAGTTAGAGGTTCGGGTGTGAATTGGGCTCAACCGTCTGTGTGACCACAGATAAACATCTGACTCCCACAGAACTTCAGTTTGCTCCTCTGTAAAATTAGGATACATGCACTTCACAAAGTAAAGTTAAAAGAGGAAACATGTGACCACACAAGCCATAAGGTGGAAAGTGGGAGGTCATTTTATTTGTAAAATAGCCTTTGATCCTCTAACTTCTCATCCATAAAACAGACTGTGACCTCTCTTCCCGTTGCCTATCTCATAAAGTTGCTAAATGGATCACACAAAAATAACTATTGAATGATTTTATTAATTCTAAAGCTCTATGCACATATAAAATATTACTTAGCCACACAGATAGAAGCAACAAAGCCAAGGAAGGGACTAAGTGAGCGCCAGCCCTCTGTGGTGGCCCCAAACATTGTGGAGGTCATAGTGAGGACCACAGTGGGGCAAGACCACTTCTGATCAGCAGCATTAGTACTCTTTACTTTGAGGCAAGGCTTCTCTGTCATCTCTGAGGTTTTTCTTATTTTTTAGTCATGCTTTAAAAATAATTTTAAATGTCTTTATTGAGATAGAATTCCAATACCATGTAGTTCACCTATTTAAAGTGTATAATTCAAATTCAAATTTAGTGTTTTCACAAATTTTGCAAGCATCGCCACAATCAATATAAAACACTTTCATCACTATCACCTCAAAAAAAAACCTTTACCTCCTCTGTAGTTATCATCTGCCAACCTCCTACCTTCCTCAGCCCTCGAGCAACTACTGATCTGCTGTCTCAATTTAGAGTGCTAGACTTCTGTGTGTATGGAGTCATGTAATGTGTTTTATTTTGTGACTAACTTCTTTTCATTAGCTTGTTTTCATCCAAGTAGCATGAATCAGTTCCTCATTCTTTTTTTTTATGGTACCGGGGATTGAACTCGGGTACTTGTGCTTGCAAGGCAGGCCACCGAACCGCTGAGCTAAATCCCCGGCCCAAGTTCCTCATTCTTTTTAGGGTCAAATCATATTCCATTATCTTCTACATTTTATCTGGCTATTAATTCATTGGTCATTTGGGCCAGTCCCAGCTTTTGGCAATTATGACTAATGGTGCAACAAAGGTTTGCATACAAGTTTCTGTGTGGACATACGTTCTCATTTCTTCTTGAGATACACCTAGGCATGGAATTGCTGGTTCATAAGGTTTCTCTGCGCTTCGCTGTTAGAGCAAATGCCAGAGTGTTTCTCCAAAGCAGCTGTATCACTTTACTTCCCCACCAGCAGTGTGCAGGATTCCAGTTTCTTCACATCCTCACTGGCATGTTATGTCTGACTTTTGGTTCTGGCCCTGATTTGGTGGCTGTGAAAACCTTCTTATTATTACCTCATTAGATTTTTGGACAAGCAAACACCACACTGAAGAGATGGCTATTGGACTTTGCCTCCAAGAGGAAAGAAGCAGAGCTTCGTAGTGGCATCATTAGAAACAATAGCGTGTGGGATAAACTCATCTTCCACAAAATACAGGTAACAGACCCACAGCTATTATTCTTGGGCAAACTCACTTGGGTTTCAAGATTTCTCTGAGGGCTATTTTTAAAAGAAAAATAAAGGTAAGGGAAAGAATAACATGATTTTATTATTCTGGCATACGTCCACAAATTAAGGACAAAGCTATTCATTATTATTCTCAGTCTCCAAGGTATATCTGGACAGTTCTTTAGCCATCTATGGGAAGAGGATTCGGGGTATTGTAGCTTTTCGAATTGTTCACTTTGTTTAGCTTTTCTGGATCAAGTATGGCACTCCCAAGGTAAAATTGTAAACATGAGTTAAAGAACATGTAATAACGTTATGTCTCCTCAGATGCCAAAATAGTGGTGTTGCAACAGATCCACCCTACTCTTACTGTATCTAATTCCCTAAAATACCTATAGCAGAGGTGCTTGCTCATTTCTGTACCTGTGGAGAATAAATGAGTAGCTCTGGGTGGAAGCAAACTCAAATCCTGTGTTCCTGTTGTGACACCTGTGCGTTCTCTGTCTTAAGTGTGAGTTCTTTCCTTTCCACCTGCAGAAGAACTGGTAGATCATTAGATGGGGTTGATCATTAGACACTGTTAGATCGACATGGGGTCCAAGCATGTGTCTTTGACTGAGGAGCCAACTGCCTTGCCAATATGTAACCCTCTTTCTCCTTCTCTCTCCACCATGTAAGTCAAGCCTGGGTGGAAAAGTCCGGCTGATGGTCACAGGAGCTGCCCCTGTATCTGCCACTGTGCTGACGTTCCTAAGAGCAGCCCTTGGCTGTCAGGTGAGGTACACTTCACACCATGGGATTATCTCAGACTTCATGATACTGAGACTTCTTCAAAACGACCAAAAGTCATTTTGATTCTGTTTGAGGTTTTTTTAAATTGGAAAATCAAAATTACATATATTTGTGGTACACAAAGGTGTTTTTTGGTATGTGGATATATTGTGTAATGGTTCCATCAAGCTAATATAGTACTTTATATACTTCTCATTTTGCATGTGGTGAGAATACTTATTCTCACAGCAGTTTTCAAATATACAAGACATTGTTATTAAATATAGTCACCACGTTGTACAGTATTGATCACTTGAACTTATTCCTCTTAACTGAAATGTTGTGTTCTTTGACCAATTCTCCCCATCTACAATTTATGTGTGTATGTTAGTACTTTTTTAATTTTTTGGAAGATACATCATTGCTAGGTTGCTTGGAGAAATATGAATTTATATATTTTCCCTTAGGCAGGGCAGATGTGTTTGTATCCATCATTTGTGTAATTTCTCTAGGGTAAGGCACAAGCCATGCCTACAGACTCACGTGTAGGTATGAGAACGTGATAAGCCTACCCACAAAGCATGCTGAGAACCTGTTTTGTTTGTTTGTTTGTTTGTTTGTTTGGTACCAGACATTGAAATCAGGACCTTGCACTTGTGAGGCAGGTGGTGGAACCACTGAGCTAAATCCCCAGTTCCCTGAGAACCTGTTTTAAAGGGGCCAAGGTGTGGTGACAGCTAAGACATGTGGGGTATACCATGAACTGACAAAGCAGGGGTACTCTGAGGTCGGTAGTAACGTGTCATGTGGAAGTGTCCCTTGCTTATTCACAGAAAGTTGAAGAAAAAATGAACATGGATGAGGGCTGGTGTTTGGGAGTGAAGGTTTGGTCACATGTTGAGCCATTGCATAAACTTAATCTACAGAAATTTTGCAAAAAGATTTCATAATCAGCAATAACTTGGGTGTTAGTGGAACTTAATTGTGCATTTCTGGAAGAGAATGGCTGTCCCCCTTAATGATGTCTCCTCTTGGTAACCCAGTTCTACGAAGGCTATGGACAGACAGAGTGCACTGCTGGCTGCTCCCTGAGTGTACCTGGAGACTGGACAGCAGGTACGGTTAGTGGGGCAGCCACTTCTGGAACTGTCTTATTGCATTTCGGTGATTGGAATGATTGAGACCTGGTTAATAACTGATTAGTTCATTAGCCAATTTAAGCAAATGCTATGTCCCAAATAATTAGGACTAGGAGTAAACACTCTTGTAATCTGGGGAGCTGGGTGGAAATAGCCCCTGTAGCCAACTGTAATGGTACTTTGGGGATCTGACTATAATTCCAGGTGACAGTAGGGATTTGCCTGGGTCCTAGGAGAACATGTGAGAGAGGATGCCTTTTATACCAAAGTAAGACTGTCTAGCCCCACAGAACTTGCAAGTAATTGGTTAGGGTCTTATCATTTGCTGGTAATTTTAATGTAAAAATTGTTATTAAATTTATACTATGTGCTGTGCTAGATGTTAGGACTATAGATAGGAATGAACACAAGCCCCCTTTTTCAGAAGCAAAAAAAAAAGGGAGGAAAAAACCCACAAATAGTTACATACCTATGGCAGATAAGGTTGTGTGATATGCGGTTAAGATGGCCAGTACGTGAGTATGATCCTGGAATATCCCCATTAAAAGGTACAAGAGAAAAGTATAGATTTTTGCTTAAATAACATATGGATGTGGAGACAAATTTTTACAGTATTATAGCTTTGGAGACAGGATTCCAATCTGAATCTGACTGCAAAACTTTTGTGCTTTCCTCTCTGCTATATTGGTAGCATATTCAACACTACAATAAGTAAACTGCCCTGACTCACCTAGTGTATTACTAGTGCCATCTAGTAACATAGATTTTCAAAGCTAGCACTATCTAATAACATAATTCTCGTAGGATTAATGCTGATGGTCTACAAGTCTTCTTAATGGTGTTTAATTTTAACCTCATATTCCTTAAAAATCCAGAGAATTTAGAAGTGATCTTCATATATTAAAATTATTAAAACGTAAGAATAGTTACTTGTGATTCTCCCAAAATGTATTTAATATTAGTTATTTTTGTTTTTGGAAAACACAACCCAATTCTAAAACCCTTTTGACAAGAGACTTAAGTTGACTGTGGAAATAAGCACTGTCCTACCTAATAGACTTAAGTGTAAGACATCTGTACTCTAGGAAATAAAGGCTGTATTGATCAGAACCAGGCAGTGGAGGGGTGGAGCAGAGAATAATCAAGGTTTGCCAGAGCTGTGTGTGTTCTCTCATAATAGAGACACCAAGAAGTCTGTGTAGATGTAGGAGGAGGAGGATAACATGTGGGCTCTGTCTGATTCTAGAAATCAAGTAACAGTTTTAGAAAACATGCTTCCAGGTGTTTGTACTAACCTTTAAACTCAGTGACTAAATTATTCATACTTCTGAAAATAATTGAGAGCCTTAGACTTACAAAAGGTCCTGAAAAGACTTTTGAATGTTTTCATTTTGCTTCTAGGAAGAAACTTAGACTATTTTACCATAGAGAGAATGGTTACAATTGCAGAAGCCAGAAGTTGATAGCAGCTGTTTTTACAAGGAGGCTTATTTGTTATAAAAGTACTGTGGCCTGAGGATATTAGCTGTCCCCTTAGGAATGATCGTTGTCTCTTTTAATATACAGGCCATGTTGGTGCCCCAATGCCTTGCAACTTCATAAAACTTGTTGATGTGGAAGAAATGAATTATATGGCTGCCAAGGGTGAGGGTGAGGTGAGTGAAACCCCATTAGTCATTGACTCAAGTGGCATGTCCTCGAATAGTGACCATTAAGAGTGGCTCCAACACTGCCTGATACAGCTGCTGAGCTTGGCTATACTGGTGATCATGGAATCAGACAGGCTTCATTTGTGTTTAAGTCTCAAGAGGCCTCAGCGAGGACACTAATGCCTGCTTTCTGCCAGTGTATTGGGGATTTGAGCCCCAGAGCGTGTTACAAACGTTCCAGTGGCCTAGGTCCTTGGGGACCATCTCCTGCCAGCTAATTGCCCTAGATACCTATTAGTAAGCTGCTGTCTCCTGGACAGGAAGCCTAATTACTTAAAAGTGATCTCATGCCCTCTGGAGCTTTCTGGCAGCTTTGAGACAGAACCTAGGCAAGCATTAACCCTACAATTTCACTGCAGCTAAGACAAAAAATGTAAAAAAGAGAAGTGGGGCTTTGGAGGAGCCTCTCAGATCTGATGGGGGTTCTGGTTACTCCTTCAGGATCCTGGAATAGAGGGCTTTTAGCTAAAGTTTGGCACATACATACAGACACCAATACCTCAGTTTTCTTTGGAGGATCCCCAGTAAGTGGTGTTAATAGATACCATGGTTTTCCTTTTTCCTTTTCTTTTTTTAAAGGTATGCGTGAAAGGGCCAAATGTATTTAAGGGCTACTTGAAGGACCCAGCAAAAACAGCAGAAGCTTTGGATAAAGATGGCTGGTTACACACAGGAGACATTGGAAAATGGTTGCCAGTAAGTTTCTAACAGTTTTGTTCCACTGCAGGGGAGAATATATCCTGTTTACTGCTCAGCTCCTATGTGGCAGGGATGCCCTAAATTTTCTCTTTCCCATTCTCCTTCTTGAATGGTACAGTTGACTATTCTATTTCCTGCAAAGGCAGGTTTTTACTCTTAGCGTACTTATTTTGACTTTAACTGTAGCAAATTTGTTTTAATGCTTAACATCAACTCCAGCCGCTGCTTCTCATTTGAAATCCAAGAGATTGAGACATTTACAATTTGATGCTAGTCTTTAATGTTGGAGCTAGCTGAGATTCCCAGATGGTGTGAGATGACTAACTCTTGCTGAGGAGACCAGAGTACCCTCCTTCCTCAGCACCGATAAAGGAATCTGAAATTCCACCTTTGTGTTGTTTTTGAAACCTTACTCTGTGCAAAGCCAATGGAAGGATTAGTCTGTGCCCTTTCTCACAGAACCTAATTCACTTGGTGGACCAGCTATGTAGGGACCTCATTCAGTAGGAAGCTGAATAAGGCATGCTAAAATAAAGGAAGCAGACACCGCCAGTGGGCTGACAGGTCACTGGTACCAGGTGGTGAAGCAGAATGGGCACGGGCCTGGAGTCCCTTTTCTGTCTCTGTACACAGCTGAAAGGCTTTGAGCAAATTACTAAATCTCTGTAAACCTTAGTCCTCCGTAAAAAAGGGTAGTACCAGCCTCAGCAAGAGGTTATCAGGATGAAAGGATAATGTATAACAAATACCTCGTACTGTGTTGTGATTAATACTGTACTGGGCACAAGCCAGCCAGACAGCCCCCTCCTCTCTGATCAACAGAATGGAACCTTGAAGATCATTGACAGGAAAAAGCACATATTTAAACTGGCACAAGGAGAATATATAGCACCTGAGAAGATTGAAAATATCTACCTGCGAAGTGAACCTGTGGCCCAGGTGTTTGTCCATGGAGAAAGCTTGCAGGTGTGTGCTTTCTAGGTTAAGGATGTGATGCTCACCATTGCCAGTGCCTTGTCCTCCAGAGGCTTAGGTACGATTGACTGAGAAAATAAGCAGTGACTTTCATGTCTGACCTGTTAGACTATCATCCATTCACCTTTGGTTTTGGCTGGTTGGCATTTCCTAACCAGGACTTTCTTCTTTATAACTTCTATATTTTATTTTATTTATTTATTTTGTACTGGGGATTCAACTCAGGACGTTGTGCTTGTGGGGCAGGTGGTAGCACCACTGAGCTAAATCCCCAGCCCTATATTTTAATTTTAATTAGAGTGGTCTGATTATACCAATGGTGGTTGGATAAAGATAGTGGGAGGTCAATAATATATTCTTCTAATCTAATTAAGAAAAATATTTATACATGGATTATATTTTAAAAGTATAAAAAAATTAAACATTAAACCTAGCTTTTTTTTTTTTTTTTTTTTGGTACTGGGAATCAAACTCGGATCCTCACGCTTGCAAGGCAGGCGACCGACCACTGATCTAAATCCCCAGCCCTAAACCTAGATTATTTATGGTATGCTCCTAAATATTTTTTGAGCAAATTGTAGTTGTGAACTAAGAATATTCAGAGTTGAAAACTACAACCAATATTGCAGTTAAGCACACATTGGCCAAAATGTTGGGTTAGTGGTAGCAAAACAGAGAAGGGGTTCTGCTTTCCTGAAAGAACATTTTCTTGTGAGAAAATGAATCTTTTTTTAAGATTACATTTTTTTTTTTTGGTACCAGGGATTGAACTTGGGACCTTGCACTTTCCAAGTGCATGACTTGGCAGGCAGCGGCATGACTGAGCTAAATCCCCAGCCCTTACACTTATTTTTATTTGATCTAGAACCTTACTGTGCTTTTTATTTTTGTTCAACTTTATTGTTACTAAGGCTAAAAAAAAAAAAAAGAGGTACTAGAGTGATTTTTTTTTTAAATGACTGTATAAATTTTCCTATTTTTTCTAAAGCAAGTAGCTAATGCCTATCACTTTGCTTATTTGACCTTTAGTTTTATAAACAGGAAGGTATTTTTAGACAAAAAAGTATGCACAGAAGTAAATAAGAATTAGGGTTTTGTTAGATTTTTAAAATTTTTATTTGCAACCTTTCTGATGTCAGCTGTATTCCAGAGCCAGGAATTCTTCACCTGCACGCTGTGAGCCCTGGGTGGGTGGAGGCAGGAGTATGTTCTGGAGAGAGGACCCATAACACTCATCAGACTCTCTGGGGGTCTGTGACACAGAAAAAGAAAGAACTTGAGAGCACGTGGAATAACTGACTGTAATACTCAATGTCTGTATTAAAGGCATTCCTCATAGCAATTGTGGTACCAGATGCTGAGACCTTACCTTCCTGGGCCAGAAAGAGAGGCTTTGAAGGTTCCTTTGACGAGTTGTGCAGAAACAAGGTAAGGCTCTGAAGTGTCTAGTCCATCCTCTGTCTCCACTTTGCATCAAGCGTACTTATGTGAAGTGAAGGCACCTTCAACAGAGGAACCTCTTATTTTTCTCACCTATTAGGATGTCAAAAAAGCTATCCTAGAAGATATGGTGAGAATTGGCAAGGATTCTGGTCTGAAACCATTTGAACAGGTAATGATTTTTATCAAAGTACATGAATTTCTGTAAAACAGACTTTTTACTTGAAGACTTTTTACAAGTAGATCATAGAAGAGGACGAGGTAGCATAAAGAAATATATGAGGAATGAATAATGGAGTGGTTTGGTAGGGGTTTTTGAACCAAAGATGGAGGGGTCCATCTTTGCCAAAGTCCAAAATGCAACCTAAATTTTGTCCTAATGGGATTCTTGTCCTTTGTTGAGAAAGCACAGCGTGGCTGAAGTGAAAGCATGCATTGGCTGCCTGGAAGGGTCCTCATTTACTCCAAGGATTAATGTGCTGTTTAGACATTTTAGGTCGCACTGTGTCTTCTCTGTCCTCTCTCCTCCTAACAGCCTTGTTTGTTTTCAGGTCAAAGGCATTGCTCTGCACCCTGAATTATTTTCTATTGACAATGGCCTTCTGACCCCAACAATGAAGGCAAAAAGGCCAGAGCTACGGAACTATTTCAGGTCACAGATAGACGAACTATATTCTACCATCAAGGTGTAACGTAGGAAGAAAGCTCAGAAGAGATGGCGCACCTCCACAGTCCCTTCTTCTACTGATGGCCTTCATGTTGGGAATTTTGACTGCAGCAAGCATAGGGAAGGAAGTGTCCATGTTTGGCTTGTCCATTCAGGGTCTTGTCATAGGATTATTAGAGGAAATGGAACACTGCCTTACAGTCACCTCGTATTGCAGACCATATTCATGGTAATATACAATTTCCAAAATGAGCCTTAAAATTGTAAAGGGGAAACTATAAAAGTGCTAAGTTATTTGAGACTTCCTCAGTAATAAGGTGGGTGATAAAACTTCTGTCTCCCTGTTTTTCTAAATAAGGGGTTAGGACTCTGCTGTTTCTGAGATGTCTGCTACTTGCTGCAAATTCTGCAGCTGTCTGCTGCTCTGAAGAGTCCAATGCACTGGAGGGAATCTGTTCCTTTAGAAACAAGAACAACTGTTCTAGCTGGAGAACATCACAAGTGGACCAGAGATTTTTTTAAAAAAAATCCCTGCCACATTCCCTTTACCATCTCACATGCACTCACAAAATCCTTCTGATGTAAGGTTTCAAAACAATCCCCTCCTGATGTTCCTAAATGGGGCATAAGGTTCCTAATAAACCAAAGGATAGGTCTGCCTTGGAGCACTGCGGGTGCTGAGTCTCAGAAGAATGGCGGCTCATCCAAGCGAATGGCTTCTCATCTCGCAGCAGGCTGCTCTCATACTCTCCTCCACACCTGGCTCTTCCCTCCTTTCCAGGGGTTATGAAAAAAAAAACCTGCCTTAGACTCTGCAGTGAAGACAGCATTTCAAGAATTATCTGGATCAACCATACTCAACTGTGATGCCTGAGGAGCTGTCCACTTTATCTTCACTGAACCACTCACTGTTTGTAATGGCCAATGGACTTTTAATGTGGTTTTCATAAAAGTTGATAATGTGATGATTAACTTGCTTTTTTGCCCCTAAAATAAACTCTCAGAAAAAGCATGTCTTCAAATATATTAATGGAATAGTTGTACTTGGGTAATTATTGAAATGGAGGGTAATAAGCAAATGTTGTTATAATACTACCTGATCTCTGTGAAATATATTTGACAAACCAAAATTCTGGGATGTAGAAATCTGGAAAAGTCATTTCCTGGGATTAACTTCTTAAGGAATTTTTAAAAAGTTAATTTGGTAAATTAACAAAATTTCTCTTTACTGCAAGTCTTTGCCACATTTGACTGAATTGAGTTGTCGTTTATACATTTAAAGCCACTGTTGTTGGATATGTAAGAGTACATGTGTTATACAAGCACAACAGGGTTTGCACTAAGAATTGTCATTGTAATAACACTATTTGGTAGCCTAACTTCATATATGTATTCTTAATTGCACAAAAAGTCAGTAATTTGTCACAATGGGGTTTTGAATGTTTGCTTTAAGTGTTGCTATTTCTATGTTTTATAAACCAAAACAGAATTTCCAAAACAATGAAGGAAACCAAAATAAAATATTTCTGCATTTGGAACGAGTGAAGTGTCTCTTTAAAATTTAACATTTAAAAACAGCCCATGATGTGGACCAGCAAAGAACAAGAATGGGCCCTTATCCTCACGTCCCTCCTGCTTGCTTACTTCTTCCCAGTTGTTCTTGGACCCTTCCAGGCACTGCCTCGAGTCTCTCACCAGGTTGTCTGTGGCAACAGACCACTGCTGAGCAGCAATTCGTGGTGTAAACAATAATGAGTATTCCCAGAACTGGGACTTCTTTGTTGGAAATCTGCATTCCAGGAGACATTGTAATAGTGGCTCTGTGGTGGATTTAATTCTATTATATTTTAGTAATTCTCTTGCTGTGGAATTTTTTTTTATTTAAAAAAAATTTAGTGCCTCTTTCTCATACATGTTGATCACATTCATCATAGGGAATTTGTACCTGTACGTAATATAATTAATTCTTTCCCGTTCCCCTCCTCTCTTTTCAACCCTTCTTCCTCTTTCCATTTATACAAACTTTGATTCTAATTTTCCTTCCATTCTTTTTTTCCCTATTTCCTTCCTTTCCTATCTCTCTGTCTCTCTGTCTCTCCTGTCTCCTCCCTTGTTCCCCTTCCCACTTGAGAATGTTCTTCCTACTTCCAAATATCATACTCCTTACTTACCCTTTGGGTTTTTCACATAAGAGAAACAATGTCATTATAAACGTACGTCCAATTTATTTCATATGATTATGGTTTCAAGGTGCATGCATTTTCCTACAAAAATGATGCAAGTTTATGTTTGTTTATGGCAGAGTGGTACTCAATTGTGTATAAATACCACATTTTCTTTATCCGTTCGTCTTTTGATGGGCTTATGGGCTATTTTCAATTTTTACCTCTTGTAAATTGTGCGGCTATAACAGGAATATGGATATATCACTGTGGTATGATGCTTTTAACTCTTTTGGGAAGATAGCTAGAAGAGGAACAGCTGGGTCAAATGGATAGCTAGTTTTAGTTTTTTGAGGAACTTCTGCAGTGGTGGCACCAGTCTGCACTCCCACCAGCAATGGAGAAGGGTTCCTTTTCTCCCATAGCCTCGCCATCATTTGTTGTTGGTTGATTTCTTGATAGCCATTCTTTCTGGAGTGAGATGGAATCTCAGTGTTGTTTTAATTTGCATTTATCTGTGGAATATTATAGATATCCTATTTATAGCAGTCATCTTTTCCTTTTTTTTCTTTTCCTCTTATCTCTACCCTACTCCGTGTTATTTTAAAGATTTTCTTTTCCGTAGGTATTAGGCAACTCCTAACTTCTTCTAAGCCTGTTGTGTTCAAATCCATCTTCTCTGTCCCTTAAGTTTTATGTTTTGTGTATGTTATGTTTGTTTCCTTCCTCTAAAGCATCAGCCCTCTGCATACCTCTGCTAAAGTTTGTCTTAACTTCATTTTCTGTTTCTATAACAAAATACCAGAGAATGAGTAATTAAAATAAAGGTTCTAGCTCATGGTTGTAGAGGCTGGAAAGTCCAAGAATATGGCACTGGCATCTGGTGATGGCCTTTGTGTTGGTGGGGACTCTGCAGAGTCCCACAGGAAACAGCATCACATGGCAAGAGGGCTCATGAGGTCGGGCCACGTTAGTTTTTATAACATATCCACTCTTGTGATACCCACTCCCCTGGTAATCCGTTAATACACGATGAGTTAACCCATTTGTGACAGTAGAGCCCCCATGAACTATTTGCCTCTCAAAGGTCCAGTCTCCAAATGCCATTAACATAGGACCTTGGGGGGCCAGGATTTTGCTCAGTGGTTCCGCCTGCCTACCTCACAAGCACAAGGTCCCGAGTTCAATCCCCGGTAACAAAAACAAAACAACAAAAAAAATACGATCTTGGGGATTAAATTTCAACATGTGGATTCTGAAGGACAAACATTCAGACCATAGAAAGTTTCTTGTTCATTCTGCTTTTAGCTGTTTTTCTAAATTTTATTGGTACAGTTTAGATTTGCATAATGATCGTATTCACCATAGGGAATTTGTGCCTTTACATGGTATATGTTGATTCTTCTTTCTTCCCCATTCCCCTCCCCTCCCTTCAACCCCTCACCCCCTTATCTACAAAAGCCCCATTTCCATTATTTTCTGTTTCCTTCCTTCCCCTCCCACCCCTGCCAGTTCCCCTGTTCTATGGAATGATTTTTTTTCTTTATATTGTTCATTATGCCTTTTGGTCCCTATTTACAGTTTCATTTTCTTACACTAGAGAGACAATGTGATATTTGCATACATGTGTTCGATTTATTTCACAAGAATATAGTTTCAAGGTGCATCCATTTAGCTATAAATGTCTCAAGATTTTCTTAATGGCTAAGTAATACTCCATTGTATAGAAAAATCACATCTTTTTCTTCAGTTGATGGGTATTTGGGTTGTTTCCAAGATTTAGCTATTACAAATCATGTTGCTAAAAATATGAGTGCACATATATTGTTATAGAATGGTGTTTTTAGTTCTTTGGGGAAGATTCACAGATCTGAAATGAATAGACACTTCTCAGATGAAGAAGTACAGAGAATTGAAAAAACTCAGACTGCCTTTAGTTTATAAATTCCTTATTTGTCTTACTTTCTCTTCCTCTTCCTCTCCCTGGCTGAAGTTTGAGTTTCTTGAGATTAGGTATTGTTCCTCCATTAGCACTGAAAACATAGATGTTCATTAAATGAACCTTTGAACAAATACTTGAAATACTGAAAAGATCCTCTTGCAATGAGGGTGATAATATACGCTGGATAATAGTTTGATTATGGTGAAACACACATATAGTTAACCACTTGGGAGTGTATGGTTTAGCGGTAGTAAGTACATTCATATTCATTCTTGTGCTCTCATCCTTATTATCCATCCACACAATTCTTCATCCTGTAAAACAGGAACTTTGCAACCATTAAGCAATAGTTACATTGGGTTACTCCTCCATCTCCCCCCGCACTTCAGCCCCTGACAGCCATTATTCTGTTTATGACTCTTTAAATATCACTTGACAGTTTTAGTCTATGACAGTTTTATGACTTGCAGGAGATTAAATGTGATTCTGGTAACCCTGAATCCATCAAGCACCAAAAGCTCAATAGGACCAATACTGCATGTTAGAAAACATGCATGAAGTTGGGTCACATACATTTTGCAGATTCGTGACATTCCTTAGAACTTCTAGGAGTCATAAACAACAGAGATGACAACAGCTATAGGTGTTATAGATTTGCTGTGGGCCCAGCACCATGCTGCTTTTTTTACCCTTTAATTATGACCCTCTCCCCAGCACACACACAAGCAAGCCGTGTGAGCAGTTCATTCCTATATGTTTACCACCATCTGCTAAGTGCCAGGCCTGTTCTGTCCTTCAGGAATGCAACAGTAAGCCCAGAAGATAGGATCTTCACCCTCAAGAAAGGAGACACAGTAGACAAGAAAGCAAAGGAACATGTACAGACTGATGGATGTTTTGAAGAAAACAGTTGTATTGATGGTGTACATTTTTAAGTGTCACATTAGAAAAGGTTTCAGTGAAGCGGTGACATCTGAGTTGAAGAGTTAACTGGAGGATTAGCAGGAGTCAGCTGTAAATCTTTAGAGGGTTTTCAAGTAGAAGAGAGCCAAATAGTGAGTGCAAAGTCCCTGGAAGGAGAAAGAGCTTTATCCAAGTAACTGAAAGGAAGCCAATTTGGCTGAAGCATCATAAACAAGGAAAAGAAGTTGGACATTCACGTTACCTGGGCTAGTAGTCCTGGAGAAACTACAGAAGGATTTTGAGACAGATAATGACATTCTCTAAATTACCCTTTTGGAAGACAATTACTGGTTGCCCTGGAAAGAACTACATTGAGGCCTGAAGACCATGTGAGGACTGTGTAGCTTAGAATGGCGATGTGAACCAGGCTAGTGGCAACAGAGGTGGGAGGAGAGAATCACTGCATGTGAGTAGTCAGGAGAGAGCCCCTGGGCATAAGCACAGCAGGGTAGATAGAGCGGTGTTTACTGAGATGGAAAAGGCTTGCATATGTACATTTAGGGGCAGGAAATCCGGAGCTCAGATTTGAACAGTTTCCCTTTATGTTTCCTATTAGGCATTCAAATTAAGATCCATATAAACCTGCAACTTGAGCTGGAGATAAATTATTTAAAGCTGCAAGACTTTATCAGGTAACCTGGGGAAGATGTATAGCTAGGAAAGAGAGGAAGCTCGCAGCCAAGCCCTGTAGCCTCTGATACTACACTGCGCGTTCAAGGAGGGAAGTGGTAATTACCTTCAGGGAGGAAAG